CTCGCGGAGTTGTCAATTTTCTTGAAATCGCTACGCGTATATACACGCGAAATCTTTGGGTCTAATAACGCGTGATTTGCGATGTGCGCGAACGAGACGAAAATAAAAAAAAAAAAAATGCGCATTGGCGCGCGTTTGAAAGTTGTCGAAAAGCGCTGTAAATTTTAATTGAATTCACGGGCCGGTGCGCGTCCTTTTTTTCTTAGGGACAGGGGGAGGGTGTCGTAAAAAAAAGTGTACACTCGTCTCAAAGTCCGACACAAGTGGCCCGTAAAGTTGGGCTTTCTCCCTCTTTTTTCTTACCGATTTTGCGTCAAATCCAACGTATATTTATATATATACACGCGTGATCTCGCAATGTGTAGGGTACAACGTTTATAAGCCCCGAGTCGATTTTAGGAAACACGCGCGAGTAACCATCTCTTTTTTTCCGTCTCACGCTTTATACGGTTGTTACACGCTTTTCGGGGTGGTGTCCCTTGCGTCATGGTTTGGGGTCCTGTCGCCTGCTGAGCGCAATTTTTGTCTGTCTTCGTACTTTGACGCAACGTTATCTCGGATCTTTTAATTCTGTATTATTATTATCATTATTTTTTTTTTTTTTTCAATTTTGCCATCCAGACTCGGCCCGTACGTGTTCACACGCTTCGCCTCACAATCACAATTATCCTTACGCGGGAGAAGCGACGCCTGGGAAGTTGTACCATCCCTCATGAGAGCACGTCAAGGGGAAAGCGTGCACGAGTTTTTCGAAATAATTTTTTCTTTATTTTTTTTTTTTTTCTCTTTGTCTACATGCGAATACCTAATTATTAAGTAACGAAGCGTACTGCACGTATTTCGCATGATTTGCAAATCGCGCGGGCTCACTCGTTTTGCGACAACTCGGGTATTGTTTTGACTCTTCTTTCGAAAATTTAGTGCTTCCCGAAAATGGAAAACTTTATCGAACCTCGCAACAATGACCAAAAGTCAATACCTGCATGAAAAAGAAAAAAAAAAAAAAAAAACCAGTAGATATCGGTATTGACGTGGTTTTCGGAACCTATTAATTACAGGCTACTCAATCAATGCTATAAATCATAAAGCTATAAAAAAAATGTGATTTTTTTTTTAACCGTTCCCATAACATAATCACAGGATATCTCGCAAAAGAAAGCGAACAACCATAATATACTAGGAAGCTTATGCCCAAAGATACTAGCAAGATTTGATTTTTACGCTCATACCGGAACACGCATACATATATATTTATGAATTTAGTGAACATACAAGCGCATCCTCGTATGTAGGTATATTATATATATGTACCAACTTATGTAAAGAAAGCACGGAGGATAGAATATGTAAATTGAGCCGAGTATGGATGTTCCTTGAGAAAGTATCGTGTCTGAAGTTGATTTACATCGCATCTTCGAGAGAGAGAGAGAGAGAGAAAGGAAGAGACCTCTCCGGTCAGTCGGTCGGTCACGCTTTGCGTTTTCACTTTCTGATCTTTCCCATATACATTATACATATACTTGTTTTTTGTACCTCCGCGTACAGATGGTCACAGGTATGTATTGTAAGTAGGTGGTTACATGATGTGGGGCCCAAACCACTCGAGAGTGATTTACGTACATCTCCCTCGGAGCGGATGATGGATTACTTACTATGAACTTACTATGTTAGAAGAGACTCTCGTGTTTTTTTTTTCCACCTAGCTAAATGTCGTATAGCTGTGGAAAAGAAATAGCTGCAGGTGGTGCATATTTATTTGTTTAATTTTTTTTTTTTTTTTTTTTTTTCGTCGTAGCGATAAGATCTGTAGACGAGGCCAAGACGATATCATCAGTGCCGTGCGCGTCCTTGTCAAAAAAATGACCCGAACAAATGCATGGAGGCTAAAAGAAAAAAAAAAAAAAAATCATCCGCAATCCTTTGCTCTCCGCAGGTATGAGCATAATGAAAGTCGTTGTTTCCAGGCAGATGAGCAGTTTGCATAAATTTCATCGGTACGTCGAATCAATTTAACGAATCCTCCATGCAAATTTCATCCCAAACAAATATAAAAATCCTGTACTATTATGTGGATGCTTCGCAGCACAAAAACACACGTACATACATATATTCAATTTATTTAGCCATCGATCTTTTTAATAAGGCCATTTTTCACCGGTACCAAAAAAACAACATATACTTATCAAGCTACGTAATATATTGTGACGTCATTGGTATATTATTTACGTGACGATAAAAAAAGCTCCTTTTTTGTTTTAGTTTTTATATTTAGGTGTGAAATTCCCCAACAAATCTGCATGTCGCATCAGCAAAAAATAACGCTGATGAAGATATTGTTTTTTATTATTATTACTATTATTATTATTATTTTTTTTTTTTCATCGCAGTTTTGACATAATCTCAAAGATGTGGACAAAACAACATTTTCGAAAGAAAAAAAAAGTGAGTTTCAAATGAGAGAACGAAACAGTTGCCGTGTATACGAATTTAGCGCGTATCAAGCCTATATACATCGGATAAACGGCATCATTGATACACTTCGCCCACACACTACGCGAGGGTATGCAAAATAAAACACAGAAATTATAAAAAAACCGGCAAACTAGTTCGGGCTAATTTATCATATACACTCGACCGCGTGAACCAAGCGGGTAATTATACACTTCCAAAACCCGGTCCGCCTTTTGGTACACGGGCACCTGTGCGTACACCCACTTGGAACACGCACGTGTAAATTCTTGCCCTCGAAAGCAACGCTGCACGTGACTCTATCGATTTTCGATTGCCTTTGGTCATTCACAGTGCGAGTGTATAATATATATACACGTATATAATTGTGGTAACCACGTGGGTTATCAAATCATTTTTTTTTTTTTTAATACGCGTATACCTTTTACATCAACACCGGCGCGGTCTTATCTACAGATCGCTCGGTCTTTCGCTTTGGATTTAAGCGTGAACATTCCAATCCCAGTCAGTACGCACGTGCGCACGTGTATTCGGACGCAGTTCTCTACAATGAACTTGACGTCAAACTCGATCGGGGAGCGAAAGCACATCGAACCGTACATTTCCTCGAAACGAAAAATCTTCTCGCGACGTGTACCTATATAATGTGCCATTTAGCCATGTGTCGCCGATGCATCACATATATATGCGCCTATATGTAACGTGTATGCATGGTGTCTCTCGCAACACAATTTGCTATATATACAGAGGTCGCATTGACATAGGCACATGAAACGTGACAACACACTCTCCATTGTCTCCTATTTTCCCTCTCCATCACCTTTTTTTTTTTTTTTTTTTTTTTTAACGTTACGTGACGTTTTTCCCGAGCAGATGAACAAACCAGTTGGTGCACCGAATGACGGAAGGTAAGCTCTTGTGTGATTTATATTTCGTTCGAGGAAAAAAGGAAAAAATCGGTTGGCTTCAAAATACAATCGTAAAATGTATAAAGGAACCGCTCAAAGTGTCAAAAAGCTGCTTCTTCCGCATCTCCATTTAAGTAATTGTCTTTCCGCGAAATATATAATAGCCAAGTGTGCTGATGCATAACGCATGACAATAAAGTGCTGGCTGACAAAACGATGAACCAACAGATCGTTAACTTTTACCACTGATCTTATTCGGCAAGGCGTCCAAGCGTATATATATATACACTAACCGTCCAGTGCTCTGTTGGTTAAACGCACTATTTGCTACGAGAATAATACCACCGATTGTATAGGTAAATTGTCTAGTTACATATCAAGTACAACCACGTGGTAC